CCAAAAAACAAATAACATGATTAACAAATGGGCAGAGGATATGAAGAGACACAAGGAAGAAATTCAGATGGCCAACAGACACATGAGAAGATGCTCCACATCACTAATCATCAGGGAAATGCAAATTAAAACCACAATGAGCTATCACTCACACCAGTAAGGATGGCCAGCATCAAAAAGACTAAGAACAACAAAATGCTGGCGAGGATGTGGAGAAAGGGCAACCTTCCTACAGTGCAGGTGGAATGTAAGCTAGTTCAACCATTGTGGAAAGCAATATGGAGGTTCCTCAAAAACTCAAAATTGAAATACCATTTGACCCAGGAATCCCACTCCTTGGAATTTACCCAAGGAATACAACTTCTCAGATTAAAAAAGACATATGCCCCCCTATGTTTATCGCAGCACTTTTTACAATAGCCAAGATATGGAAGCAACCTAAATGTCCATCTGTAGATGAATGGATAAAGAAGATGTGGTACATATATACAATGGAATACTATTCAGCCATAAGAAATAAACAAATCCTACCATTTGCAAAAACATGGATGGAGCTAGAGGACATTATGCTCAGTGAAATAAGCCAGGCGGAGAAAGGCAAATGCCAAATGATTTCCCTCATTTGTAGAGTATAACAATGAAGCAAAACTGAAGGAACAAAATGGCAGCAGACTCAGAGACTCCAAGAATGAACTAGTGGTTACCAAAGGGGAGGTGTGTGGGAGAGCAGGTGGGGAGGGAGGGAGAAGGGGACAGAGGGGTATTATGTTTAGTACAGATGGTGTAGGGGATCACGGGGAGAACAGTGTATCACAGAGAAGGGACATAGTGGATCTCTGGTAACTTGCTGCACTGATGGACAGTGACTGCATTGGGGTATGGGTGGGGACTTAATAATATGGGTAAATGTAGTAACCACATTGTTTTTTCATGTGAAACCTTCATAACAATATATATCAATCATACCTTAATAAAAAATTTTTAAAAAAACGGAAGGAACAAAATGGCAGCAGACTCAGAGACTCCAAGAATGAACTAGTGGTTACCAAAGGGGAGGAGTATGGGAGGGTGGGTGGGGAGGGAAGGAGAAGGGGACTGAGGGGTATTATGTTTAGTACACATGGTGTGGGGGATCATGGGGAGAACAGTGTAGCACAGAGAAGGGACATAATGGATCTGTGACATCTTACTACACTGATGGACAGTGACTGCATTGGGGTATGGGTGGGGACTTGATAACATGGGTAAATGTTGTAACCACATTGTTTTTCCATGTGAAACCTTCATAAGAGTGTATATCAATCATACTTTAATACAAATAAATACATAATTTAAAAAAATCAGGTCATAAAAGACAGAGTGGCTTCCCTGTTGGCGCAGGCTCTTGCCCTTGGGTCACATACTCTAGGGAGCCAGCAGCTATGCTGGGAGGAGCCGTACAGGGAGGCCCTCATGGCCATGCACTGAAGCCTCCTGCCAACAACCACAGGATGGCCTTAGAAGTGGTTCCTCCAACCCCAGCCAAGCCCCTAGATGACCACAGCTCTGGCCAAACAGCTCGGCTGAGACCTCACACAAATTCTGAGCCAGACCCACCCAGCTGAGCCATTCCTAGATTCCTAACTCACAGGAATTGGTGCTGCCACAATTCATAAATGTTTGCTGTTTTAAACTGCCACATTTGAAGATAATTTGTTACAGAGCAAGCAATAATACTATGAGCAGGAACAGTAAATGTCCCCACAATGACCCCACAGCTCTGTTCCCTAGCTTCCCTCAAAAGTAATTCTCCTCATATAAATGTGTGTCTCTGTGAACACCTGTCTCATAGCTTGAGTTTCCTAAATTCAACAGGAAATAAGACAATCAGTTACTTATGAAATGAGACCCATCCACCCTGGATGCTACTGATCATAATGCCTTAGTCTCAGCTGGAACAGCTGCCTGGGGCCACGAAAGCAGTGGGCTGGTTATATGATCTTGTTCTTAGTTTAGGCATGAGAGCACGAAAGGGAAGGCACTGATTCTGAGCAAAAAGAAGTGTGTAATAAAATGCTGAATTTATTCAGGGATATTTCAGCTTTACAACTCACACTCAGAGCCAGTAACACACACATTCACACAAACACACTCAAAATACTTAGAGCAAAAATCATCTCTCCCTCTTGAGCCTGAAATAGCCTAGCACTTAGTTCTTTCTGCACCATTGCCATTAAAATATGACTTTTGATTAGGCAAGGTTTCTTAGTAATATACTAAAGAATAATGAGAATGATTGTTAACACTCATTGAGCATTTATTTATGAAGCATATTTATGAAGTAGACATATGGTCTCTCGTTTTATCATGCAACAATTCTCTGAGTTAGATAGTTTCCTCATCCTCATTTTATAACTAAGGAAACAGAAGTTAAGTAACTTGCTTAAGGCCATACAACTAGCCACCATCAGCAAACCCCCGCAGTCCCACGCTGGAATCCTTACCACCACTCCTAGGCTGCCCCACCTGCATCATGAAACTCACCACTGGAACACACGGGAACCTGAGAACAGGGCAGTCCCAGTGCACACACACAGGCTGTGCCTTTAGCCTGTGCCCCTTCGCTGCCCCACCTGCCTGTGCCCCACAATGACAGCACCACCACCTCCCAGGCAACAGGGAGCCATGTGGGGCCACCACCTGACAGCACTGACAGCTGTTCCTTCTGCAGCCAGAAGCAAGAAGCAAGTTTTGACAGTTGGCAAGAGTGAACTCTGTCCGGAGCATGTCAGCAGCTGAATTTCTCACAACTAACATGTCCAGCTGCTCCGTCTGCCTTCTTCCTGTACTCCTTCGGAAGCATTTGCCTGTATTATTGATGTTCCTTCTGTCAGAAAATTACAAGCGTTCAGGCACCTTAAGTTCTTAGCTACCTGTTGTTTAAATGAGGAGAGTTCAGATTATAAGGTTGTGGGTTAAGAAATTTTTTTCTATTCCATTCATGGGCTAAAATTTTCCCAGGAATTATCATACACTAAAAATACACTTACTGTAAAATAAGTTTCAAGACCTTATGTCCACAGCCTTCTGTACTTTTACATACATTCCTCCCCACAAAGTCCTCTCAAGTGGATCCATTATCCTCTCCATCTCATAAATGAGGAAACGCAGGCTGGTCGAAGTTCAGCAATTCACCCAGAAACACACAATCTGTAAGCAATGGAGCAGGGACTCAAGGCTAAGCTGACTCCGAACACGATCCGAAAACAACAGGGACAAGCCTATCTGTCTTCCGTGACAGAACCAGAACCTCTAAAGACCACAGTCTCTATTGCTCTCACCACAGAACCCTAGCACAGTCAGGCAAAATGATGGTCTAGCTGAGAAAATGCCAAATTAAGCACCCATTACTGTTTTCTCATAGTCATTTAATTGTCCCTGATGCTCTTGAAATGTCTTTTTAAAATGTGAAGAAAGGCGAAAAGTTCAAATAAAAATTATGAACTCAGGGTACCAACTTTTGATTACCTATACCGAGCAACTACATTAGTGTTGCCTGTCACCTGACAGCATGAGGACGGTAAATGGTGCTGCTGTAAATCCACTTCACTCTGGACTCCCCTGCACACCCACAAGACGTATCTATCACCTGGTTTCTCACTTTAAAGTAGTTTAAAGGAACAACCAATAAACTGCTTATACCTAAAATGGGAAAAAAGTGGACCTCAAATGTCCAGTCATCAGAAAGGGTATTTTAGTATGTTCATTAACTAAATAAAATACCACACCCAAGCATATAAAGTGGTTAACATGAAGCTTAAGTGGTGCAGAGAGGCACACAACAAAATAACAGGCTATAGGTTTTCGGTACAGCACATAAAAATGAGTTTGCTGTGAATACATCGAGTGACAGCTGCATGTTTTTATGGGAGTTGGGATTGAGGGACAGGGAGGTTGCTTTATAATTTTCTTTAATAAGATATAAACAAAGTCATAGAAAAAGAAGTAGAATGACTCAAAAATAGGCTCGAGCATACTCTGAGCTCAGAAAACCCAAATGAAAAATATTCTGCCAGGGCCATTTTTTACCAGTGATATTATCAAAGGCCCAAAAGCTGGATCTAAACCCTGTGGGCACGGCTGTGTAAAGCAGGCCCTCTCACCTGCTGTTCCTGAACGCACGGTGGCTCAGCCTCTGCGGAGGGGAGGCTGATGACCTCTAGCCAAGTGAGGAAAGGAATGCCCTTTGACCCAGCAATTGTACTTCCTGGAATTTTTCCAACAAATAGTCATATAGGAACAGAATGACAAATGCAGAGGTTATTTGCTGTGGCGTTACTACAAGTAGCAAGAGACTGGGAACCTCTCAGTGCCTGGTCAAGGGAATCCTGGTGCACCCAGACAATGAACTATCATGAGCCATCAGAAAGATGACACCCCCTATACACCGGTGCAGCCCAATATCCAAGATGTAAAGTGAGTAATGTGCAAGATACATGATGATTTCACATTAAGGAAGAAAAAGAGAAAGATGGAGGGGAGTGAAGTGGGAAAAAAAAGTACACGCATAGGTCTCTGCTTTGTACACACAAAGCATCTCTGGCATCAGTGACATTACTACCTCCAGGCACAAATGGGTGGCTTGGGATTGTGTGGTTTAACCATTTGTACCTTTTGCGTTTTTAATCATGTGTATATATTATTCAATATTTAGTCAATGAAATAAGTTAAATTTCAAATGCACAAATCTTATTTCCATTAATCACTTTTTTTTTTTCATTAAAAGCTATAAGTGAAAGGTGTACTTGGGGACTTACGGCCTCCCCACGCCCACCCCTCCATCCCTCTGCCCTCCCCTACCTTGCCAACGCCTGGACCTTCATGATGTGCCGCTCCTCCTGCTCAGCCACCTTCCTTTTCAAGGTGTCCACCTCCTGCCGGAGTGCAGCTGAGTGCTCCATCTCCCCATCAAGCAGGCTCCGCAGTGATCTGGAAAAGGGGGACCCATCTGTTTACATGCCACTAACCAGAGTCCATCGAGCCAGAACACAGGTATTTACCTATCCTCATTCAGTCTGCATAAACCATAATTCAAGTCTATCTCACTTAAGTTGATTTACAGAGATAGCAAACTCTGCTCAAGAGCCTCAGAGTAATAATTGGGATGAGCCCCAGGGGAACCATCTGCAGCCCAGGCTCTGTTTCCCTGATAGCCTGTGGGCAGCTTAAATCAAGGGAAAGCCGCGAGCTGAGAGAATCCCAGGCAAGCCCCTTTAAGACGTCCCACTTGAAGGTACAGCACATCACACCAAAACCATTCTGTCACAGCCACACTGGATAAGAGACTTAAAAAAGAAAGGATGCCAGGACAGGCCAAAAGAATAATCTGAGCCATAAAATAGACTACAGGCTCCGATTACCTGACAGATGTCTATGATCATTTCCACTTCTACCCACATAACTCACTTCACTCCTGTACCATTGCCATCTCCAGGTTAAACAAGCATATATAATGTTTTATAGAGCTACAGATTTTGACATTATGGATATCGTGTTTTATATTTGGAGTTTGCAAACCCTGAAAAGCACGTTCACTTGTTTATCTGTCATCCTTGGTCCTAAATAGCAGAGAAGACAGCAGCCCTTCCAGAAATAGCCACATGTTACCACCTAGAAGCAAGCCAAGCATGGTTCCCCTGACCATTTACTCCACTGGACCTCAAATGGCTACATCTAGAAAACATGTGCCAACTTTGGCACATCTACATCCTAAATCTACAGGACACTTGCTATGTAACGCCAGAATATAAACAGAAGTGTACGGCCTCCCTAACCCCACTGATCTCTGTTCTCAAGATGTGTGTTCCTTGAGAGTTTTGAGAAAATTCCCCTCTTGGGGCTTGGTGCCCCCTTAGACAAACATGGTATAAATTTTTTTCTCTGGGAAGGAGAAGTTGACAGTGAGGATTATCCTTCATAAGACCAAGCCTCTGGCTACTGGGCTCAGAGCTCCAGCTGCAGTAAGGAGGACCCTGCTATGTCTACAGACCCTTTGCAGAAAGTATGTTTTAGTTGGAAAGTTGTGCTGGCTAAAGGCTCCTTTTTTTTCAAATGCTCTCTTGTTTTAGAAATCATGCTTGCTTGCTTTTATATGTTTCCATAAAGGATGAGGGAGAAGCTTATCAAGCTGGTCCCAAAGTAAGGCTTAAAAAGGAAAAAATGCTTGCATGTCGCCAAGGACACTCAATTTCCACTCTGAGTGAAGTCAGAGAGGGACGTGTACGTGGGCACACCACCCTAGTCTGCAGGAAGGCAGCCTAATCCTGTTCACACTCAGCAGACTACAGTAGGCAAATCCCTCTGCTGATCTTCCGGTGGCCAAGACAAGGTCCTGTCAGTGGAAATGCACAGATTCAGGCAGCCAGGGGATAGCAGCACAACTAAACATTTGGGTAGGATGCAGCTCTAGTTTCCACAGGGAATGAGAGACCCCCTCAGTGTCTGCCACTGGGCTTTCAAGGAAAACAAAAGAACCAAATACCATTTGGTTCTGATTTGAGGAAACTTTAAGTGTTTCAGTACTTGGAACACGGTAGACAGACCCTCAATTAAAAGTTACTCGAAAGACTGCTTTAGGGGGTCTAAGGGTGATAGCTGAAGTGAACGGGGTTTCTTTTTGAGATGAAAAAAAATGTTCTAAAATGGACTATGGTGATGGTTGCACAACTCTGAATATACTAAACTCCACCGAATTGTATATTTCAAATGGGCCAATTATACAGCATATGAATATTATCTCGATAAAGGCTGTTAAAAAAAATAATAACTGAAAAAGATTGCTTTACCAAATTCTTCGTTTATTGCACTGCGGTGCCACAATTCTAAGGTTCTCATTCCTTGCTAACAATTGACTCACTATATATATACATACACATATATTTATATACATACATTAAAGTGGTAAGTCCCAGGTAAAATATAAGAAATCTCTGGTCCCAATTTTGCCAGTAAAACCAACTTCACCCATCTGTGGTATTCTCTGCCCCAAAGGTAGACGATCAAAGGAGGAAGAGACTATTCCATAAGGTCCGTGATACCTGTTCTCTTCTTCCAGCTCATCTTTCCTGTTCATCATGGCCACGATGGCTTGTCGCAGCTCATCTAAGGGAAGAAAGTAGAGTCAAAATTAAATGGCAGATCTTGCCTGTTGCACCATCCCTTCACTGGTCTGAATTATAAGCTATTTAGGGCAATTTGTCTAGGCACGTTCCCTTTTCCTTTTCTAAAATGATTTCTGTACAATCGAAGAGGTCCAATGGGCTCAGATGATCACTCTTATTAGCCACACAGAATGGCAGGACAGAGCAGAATGAGAATAAATGTGGAAGCGTCTCCTCGGTGAATATACTCAACTGCTATGGGAAACACAGGCTTGCAATTTCTAAGTCTCTTTCCAAACCGCGCTACTGGACAACATCAATTTTGAGCAATGATATAGTCCCACTTACAGCTGTTTAATCAATAGCAGATCAGGCAGCAGATCAAGTGACATCTGGCTCCAAACTGACAGAAATACTCAAGTTTACTAAGAGATCTGGTTTTCCTACACTGACCATTACAGTATACAAGCAACTCTGTAAAGGGGAGCCTGGTGGAGGGTGGGGGAGGCCTTTCCAATACACAATCCAGAATTACTTATAGGAACTACTGCTTCAATATAGGAAAGCACTCATCAACAGAAAACCATTCCTTTAAATTACATAGGCACCCAAGTTTCCTATCTATGTCAAACTTAACTATTGTCACTGTCATCCACATATTAAGACACTGTTTACCTTATCCTCAGATAGCAAGACCAGGAACTTCTGAATTTCTCCTGGACAGCTAGTTTTTGTTTTGTTTTTTCCCCCTAATGAACCCTAGTGAACTGAATTTCCCTCTTTGGCTTGGCTGATAGAAAGCTCACAGCCAAACTTAGGTATTTAGTGAACATATGTGGCCATACAGCAACCACGATGTGCCCTAATCCTCCCTCTGATCTTCTGCCCCATTTACCTGTGACTGGCCTCACTTTACTTGTTCTAATACGCTGCTGCAAATCTTTTGAAAAGCAGTCTGATTTGTAGGTTTCTTCCTTTTAGCTGAATTTGGAACCCTTATACTTACCAAGCTCTTTTCAAGCCCCTACTGGCACTCTCACCTAATTTAACTTTATACACACCTAAGAAATGCATGTCACTATCCCATTCTACTGGGGCATAAATAAATTGCAACGGTCAAAGAGTAAATGGGGAGGAAGAAGACATAGATAAACAGGTGGTTCCCTCTGGCCCCTTAATACACAGGATGTCCAGAGAGAAAGAGGCCTGCCAAAGTCCCTGAGGCAAGAAACAGAATCCTAGGACCAGTGTTATTTCCAGGCTGCGACGAGGGGATAAAAGCCCACAGCCCAGGTCTCAGGGAAAGAAGGGAAGGAATGGAATTATGGGGGCTCCCCTCCAGCCTCTAGGTCCAACACTGGAGGCCACTCTGTAAAGGTGAGTTGGGCCAAAAAGTAGGCCCTCCCTGTCTTTCCTAACCCAGAGCAGCCACAATAGTGTCACCAGGACATGACTACAGTCTTGACCCCGGCTTCACATTGCACTTTTGATAGCATGAAACCTGTGGGTATACAGGGAAAATCTGGGTCTTCTCATGTGGCTGTGGAGGTGTGTCTGAGGTGCCCCTCTCCCACGGTCACGAAGGAAGATTGAAAAATGATTGGGTGAATGCATATTCACTGGATACCTACAAGGTACACACACTGTGCTGGCACTGTGGGCAATGCCAGAGCCTCTTTCTGCACACAGCCTCCTCTCCCGAAGATGAGCAAGCAGCCATACTTCAGGGTGGTGAGAAGTGCCAAGACGAAGAGGACAGTGAGTGGAGGCAAGAGATTGAGGGGGAACAGTGCCATTTTGCATGGGGTGCTCTGGGAAGGCCTGAGGAGGACGTGTGTGCAGAGGCCTGACCAACCAAGAAGGAGAGAGCCGTCCTGCTGTGAAGGGAAAAATGCTCCACATAGCACGTGCAAAGGCCCTGAGGGAGGAGCAAGCAAGGTCACAGGAGGAAAGCCAAGGGAAATGAGTAGGCCTGCAGGCAACCCTGAGGGCAAAATCCAGAGGACAGATTTGCCCAGAATTGGGGAGGTTGAGGAGCTGGGCAGTAAGTCTCAGCATGTAGGCCTGCCCTCTGGAAGCTTTGAATCTTGAGGACTTAATAATTCCAGCACCTACCAGCTAAGTGCTTCACATACATTGTGTCACTAGAGCCACACAACTCATGGGAAGCTATCTCCCAGTCCCTTTCACAGGCTTGCAGATAGGCTCCAAGAGATTAAATGGAAAGACAGAGCTGGAATTTGAATCCAAGTCTGTCTAATTCCAAACACTGCATTCAATCCTAGGAAACAATGATAATGGCTACCACTTACACGAATATAAGAACTATTATTTTATCAGTGCCTCAGTGACATGAACCCATTCTACAGATGAACAAACATGGAGAGGGTTATTAAGTAAGCCGTACAACCGCACACTTTAAAGGTCAGGGCTGGCATCACTAATTCCAAACACTGCATTCAATCCTAGGAAACAATGATAATGGCTACCACTTACACGAATATAAGAACTATTATTTTATCAGTGCCTCAGTGACATGAACCCATTCTACAGATGAACAAACATGGAGAGGGTTATTAAGTAAGCCGTACAACCGCACACTTTAAAGGTCAGGGCTGGCATCACTAATGAGGCCTCTAGCTCCAAGGTCATGCCGCTGTAAAGACACACAGCACCGACAGGAGGCAGGAGGGCCGGGGAAAACACCTGTGTCACATGTGTGCCAGGTCCAGAACCAAGGTGCTGGAGCCCGATGAACACGGGTCTGGGTAACAAGGCCACACAGGACTGCAGGGGCTCAGTTCTCAACACGTGTGGGAAGACCAGAGCCACACATGTGATCTTTTCAACTCTTCTCAATGTTTGGAAGTTCTCATAACAAGAAAACTTTTTCTTTAAAAAGGCAGAAAAAGCATTTCCAGAAAAGAGAATAATAAAGCTGAGAGCAAGCAGGGCTGAGATGAGGAAAAGGAGGGTTAGGTCCACGCAGAGGGCCTAAAGAGACAAACGGGCATGCAAAACAGATAAAGCCACAGTGTGCTGCCTACCGGGGCCATGCTCTGCCTGCAGTTACTACGGCCCAGAGCTCACACATTCATTCCTCAGTAAATGTCTATTGAGCACTTACTGGGCACAAGGTACCTTCCCAGGCAGACAGCAAAGCTCCCAACCTACCTAAGGAAGCAATGTCTTTAATGGAGGATTTCTTAATGGGGGACAATACACATTCACATCTGCCTATGGTGAAACAGAGTCTGCATGACTAGATTCTGAACTTGACCAGGGAACTAGGGACCCGGGAACCAAAGCCTCAGACCAGTGACTCAGTGTCTGTGAGCCTGTCTTTGGTGCACAAGGGGCAAACAGCACCCAGTTTCCCACTCTCTGGGGCACAGTCAGGTTCAGAGAAGAGACCAGATGGAACAGTGCTATGTCAAGGCACTGCTTCTTATGGACTGCAGCCGGATGCATTAACAATTTAGAAGAACTCATCATAATGCTTCAGTTAAATTTTTTTTTAACTGAAAACATTGATAAGTCTGTTAAAAAAAAAAAAACCAAAAAGAGCCAGTAACTGATTCCCATGATACCACTGTCATAAAAAAGAAAAAAAAAGTCAAAGGTTTCATATATCATTGAAGACAGGATAATATCTCTTTGGTTCTTATCTTCAAGAAACCCAGTGCAGGTGGTGAGGCTACAGGCTGGAAAATGTGGACACAAACTTGGGAAACTGTGCCTTTACTCCAAGGCCTGTTTGAATTCTGAATTTACTTACAAGGCTTTCTTCCCCATGGAGTTCTCAACTGGCCAGAATTTCTTATGGGGGAATGGGATGTTCATAATTGCAATATGAGGTCCCTAAGAGAGGCAATCTTTTTTTCTTAATTAAAGACTATTTTTCAGAGCAGTTTTAGGTACACAGCAAAATCAGAAGGTACACAGACTTTCCATATACCCCCTGCTCCCCCCCCCCCCCAGGCACAGCATCCCCCATTACCAACATTCTGCAGAAGGGACATTTGTTACAACTGATGAACCCGTGCTGACCCAACCCAACTCCCCAAGTTAACATCAGGGTTCACTCTGTGTTACTTATCATGTAAGTTTGGAAAATTGTATAATGACATGAATCCACCATTACTATATCGTAGAACAGTTTTGCTGCCCTAAAAATCCTCTTTGCTCTGCCTATTCCCTCCTCCCTGCCCCCAACCCCTGGTGAAATTGCCTCTTAATCAAAGAAATTACACCATCTTAGCCAGCCTTCTGCCCAGTGATGGCAGATCACGCGCATGTCTCATCTACACTAACGAGCTGCTTGCACCAGATCTAGCAAGAGAGCTCAGCAGAGCCCCCGTGCACAGAACAGACACCCCCACTGCCGGAGTGTCAGCACAGGGTGCCCTGGGATGCTCAGGACAGGAGCACCATGCTCAAGAGCCTTCAGTCCCTTGGCTCTGAGCCTCTCCTAGAGGGAGCAGTTCACCACCCTGAACATGCTCCTTCGGCTGAGATGTTTATTTCATGCACCCTCCTGCTCTTACCAACCCCTCTCCTGGGCTCAATACAGAGACAGCAGTCGGCCTGGTCCAGCAGCCTCTGACCCAAAGATTTCCTGCAGGGTCTCCTGAGAGACTTTAACTGCCTTATTTTGGCCTACCCACAATTGCTGCATGTATTTCCTGCCCAGAACCCATCTTTTCTCATGTTCACCACCCTACTACCAATCTGATTAAACCAAAGTCATCTATTCAGACCCAGATGAAAAGGCACCTCACCTTGAAGCCGTCCCTGATTTCCCTACCCCTCAGCAAGCTGCAGAGCGTGCAATAATGTACTGCCTGTCTCCTGCAATTAACTCACAACTCCGTAAAGGTGCACAGGGAGTCATCTTGGGTCCCCAGAGCTGCCGCACACTGGGTGCTCGGTCAAGGCTAAGTCATGCAAAATGAAAGACGCAGAAAGACTATTCCTACCTAACTACAATACTACCAAACT